TCTATTGTGTCTTTTCCCATTTTCCCCATCCTTGTGGATTTATGCCTCAAAGCAGAACAAAACCAATAAAAAGAAAAGACAATTACAACAGCAAAACTTTATTATCATTTTAGAAGAGTTTTAGACATTGAAAATGTTTAAGCTGCCTTCTTTACCCAGAAATCCCTTTAGGAATAGGAGTGTGGATCTTGCTTATTAGTGGTTGTGGTTCATAAAGTACTGTTAGAGAAAAAGGCTACAAAGTCATGAATGCCCTTTAGGACACATTAATACCCTGAGATGACCAACAGCTGTGCACTTTTTTGCTGTCATACCTGTAAGTTGGCATAGTGGGGGTAATATTGGAAGCCATTTCTACACTGGCTCAGCCAGCAAACTACTCTATACTGAGACAGAAAACCACATAAATATATGGATAATAAATGTATCCCCAACTCGACCTACTCTATAGCCAAATTCGCACAGCTTCTCCATTTCCACCCAACACAAGGGGAAATGTGACAGAGGGGAATTTGGAATGGTGAGAGATGGAAGTCTTAACCGATGCAGTTAAACTCTCACTTTTACAAGTTTTACAAAGACATATGTAACTACCCATTGCAAGGGCCCCACCCAGGATTTTGGAAGGATTGTGTGAGCAAGGGTCCCTGAAGGCTGCCTCTGCTCAACAGATGCCTATCTCCAGGGATGATAGTGATTCATATCACTCTTTTTAAAGGAATGGAGACAACGGTGGCTGTGTGGAGAATGGTCTAGAAGAGAATCAGGGTAGGAGGTGGTGATGAAGTCACTGCCTGGATGTTGTGAGGTATTTCTGAGGAAGAATTCACCCCATTTGGTTCCAAGTCAGCACAGGAAGGTGGTGGGGAGAAGTCCTGTTATAAGAAGGGTCACTGAGATGAGGGGTTTGCCCATCTCACTTCTACCTTCTTTCAAAACTCAGAGAAGAGCTTACCACCTCCAAGTTGTATCTTACGTTCAAAGGTAATATTTCTGTACTCCTGTATAGATTAAAGCTCATAAAGAGGATGCTGCTACTTGAAGAGGTGCAAATTTTTAGTGCTGATCTCCTTCCCTTTTATTCTCCAGGACAAAGGCATAACTCTCTCTTCCTGGGCCCCAGTTTCCTCCAAAAGGAACTGGATTAAGATCTTTTCCAACTCCTTCTGTGTTTCTCTGGTCGCTAATTATAGAGGCTTCATACTGGTTCCTCATACAATGATTTACATGTTTTTTTCATTAAATGTGGTGATTAGGTTTGTATCTACTGGTATTGGATTGTTAAAAGAAGTAAACCTCCTTGCATTTCTTGAGGCTTTGCATTTCTCCTTCATAAGGCAAGGGCTTTTAGAGTCTCCCACTCTTGACAATAGGAAAAGGCTTCTCCTTTTGTTTACAAAGGCAATTTTAGTCATAAGTTTTGAACTGGATTTTGATTGGTAGATAAAGAGCTTTCTTTTGGCAAAAAATTTGGTCTAATATTTTATTAGCTCTGGAAATTTGCTCAAATTACTAAAACTTTCTGAGTCTCAGTTTGTTCCTCTATAAAACAGGAATGACAGCAACTATCTTAAAGGGGTGTTTTGAGCATCAAGTGGTGTCAGGTACATGAAAAGAGCTTAGCTGTGTGTCTGGCACATAGTATTTGCCCCATCAAGGTCATTTCTCACCACCATCTTGAAACAAGAATGTCTCATGGGACACTGACATAGCCTACTTATGAAGCTACTATTAGCATAGGATTTTTAAGTAGACTTTTTCTTCTCCTTTCTCCCCACCTTTCCTTCCTCTCTCCTTCTTTTCTACTTTTCTTCTTCGCTCCCTCCCTCCCTTCCTTCCTTTTTCTCTTTCTTTTTGTTTTTACTTTTTTGGTGTGCTCAATGTCATTTTATCAATTTGCGGGAAAATTCCCTCTCTACTCAACTTCACGGATGGGCCCACGATGCAGGCCTCAGCCATCCAGGTACTCTGCTCCTTGTTTACGGTGACAGATACGGCACTCAAGCTTGGCCAACGACCATCCTATCCAAGTATTCTGAGGAAAAAGATATTCTCTTTCCTTGTAAAGCTGATAGAATGTAAGTTTAGGCAGCTGGTGGCCGCCTCATAGGGAGACTGCATCTGGGAATGGAATTAACACAGGAGGAAGCTGACCCAGTAAGTGGAGAAAGACAGATTCTTGATATGTCTGTGCCTTCAAAAAATCCATTTCTGAAAGAACAAGTCCCCTGGATTTCCTGGTTTTGTGAGCTAGTAAATACCATTTGTTATTCAAGACAATGTGAAATTAGTTTTTGACTTTTGTAACTAAAAGAATCCTGTCGGACTTAGAGCTGAGACTTCTTTTGTCTTTCCCCTCACTCATGCGGGAGGTTTGACTAGCATTTGGTCCTCTCTTGCAGTTGGGGGTTTTCAGAGGAAAGACATACACCAAAAGGGCAGACAGCCCTAGTATTTCATGGACCGTACAGGTCAGTGTTGTGGAATTTTAGGAAGAGTTCAGTGAGTTTCCTTAATAATTTCAGTAAAGCCATGACCTTTGAACTGAAGCCCAATTGAGAGCTGTCTGAAAGACACGCAGGATACATCTGCTTAGAACTTCTGATTTCAACAAGCTCATGTTCGTGGGTTAATGCGGTACCAAAGACAAAGAAGCAGTTGTATGCTTGTTGTATGAAGGCCAAAGATGTCATGGGTGCCAATCAAAAATGAGTTTCAGAGCAGGTCACAGTGGTTAAGTCCCACAAGGAACCAATCATCAGGCCTCTAGCAGAGAGGAGGAGCCTAGTGAGTTTGCACTCCTGCGTGACAGTGTGTGCATGCTGTGCGCACCTACTTAGTTTCAGGAAAGCATTCTGTTGTGTCAAATTAATGTGGTTAATTTGTATTTTAATTTCATGTTTTATTTGCATTTATTTTACAAACTTGGTTTTATAAGTTTTTCATAAGAAGTATACACATAATTTTATGCTTGTACTTACTTAAGTAATATTGTTCTAAAAATTAAGTAAGTCAATACTGGAGAATGTTTTATATTTTAAAAGAATATTATTCACTACCCATGGTTTGAGTGGTCATTCCTTTTAAATCACTAAATAGTATCCATTGTCCTGATGTAACACAGCTTGTTTACCCATTCAATTTCCAAAGCATACCTTGTTTGCTTCCCAGTTTTGCTAATTATGAATAAAGCTGCAAGAAACATCCATGTGAAAGTTTTTGTGTGAAAACCTAAGTGTTCAACTCTTTTGGGTGAATACCAAGAAGTGTGATTGCTGGATCATATGGAAACAGTACCTTTAGTTTTGTAGGAAACAGCCAAACTGTCTTCCAAAGTGGTTACACCGTTTTGCATCCTCCCTAGTCTTTGTGGTTATCAGTGTTTCAGATTTTGGCCATTCTAATAGATGTGTAGTAGTATTTCATTGTTGTTTTAATTTGCAATTCCCTAATGGCATATGGTATTAAACATCTTTTCATATGCTTATTTTCCATCTGTGTATCTTTTGTGAGGTGTCTGTTTAGCTCTTTAGTCTATTTTTCAAACTGGGTTGTTTCTCTACTGTTGAGTTTTGAAAGTTCTTTTTATATTTTGCATGCCAGCCTTTTATGTTACATATTTTGCAAAGATTATTCTCCCAGTCTGTGGCTTGTCTCTTAATACTTGTTTATCTTTAATCATTTAACCACAATATCACCACCCAACTGTTGCAGAGCACTACCGATCTTCAGGTTTATAGCTATTAAAAGTGTTGAACAACCCTAATGCTCCATGCCTATTCCCCATTGACTGGATTTGCGGTCAGTTGCATTTGTGGGTAGGATCAAGTCATCAAGCCCATCAGTGGCTCAACTTCAGACCTCATGTTCTTAACCAGGATCATCACTGCTATCATCCCAGAGTCGCCTGTGACCGGTCCAGTTGGCTGGTCTCGCAGAGTGGATTGGAGCTGCCGACATTTTTGCTGACTGGGGTCATGCTATCTTTGCCAGCTTGCTGGAATAGACACAGACACCAATTGGGTCACGCTGAAGACATTCCTGTCCTGTGAAGCAAGTCTGCTTGTATTTTAGGTTTGCCAGGACTAATGAATTAAAACATGTGTACTCTCCACAACTGGCTGTTTATCAATGCCTCTGACAGGAGGAGGGTTTTCTTTTGCGCTTGCTTTTTCTAGAAGCATGACAACATCCTGGCTGTTGGAGAGGCTAGGAAAGGAGAGAGGGGTTGTGGAAGGAAGTGGAACAGGGAGGCCCATGGGACGCTGGGGTCTGGGGGAGAGCAGGTAGCAGCAAGCTGCCCTGACAGCTGTCATTGCTCCTCAGATTGTCAGAGGCTGCTATGTAGCAGGTGCAGCCTGCCTTCTTACTAAGTCTTTACTCCACAAAGGCAACGACTGGCCAAGGCGGTGGCCGGCCCTGGATTACACAAGTGCAGACACTCAACTAAGTGAGGTAAGGCAACAGGTGTGAAAAGCGAACTAAACACTCGGAGCACCAGCTACTTAACCAAAGCTCTGTTACAGCCGAGAGGAGGAATCAGTGGTCCCTTTCCCCAGGCGGTGTGATGAAAAGGCAAGTTGCTTTAGGGGCTCTTGTGGTTGATACCATGTGGAACTCAAAATCCACCCCACTTGGCCGCTGCCACCCTTTCAGAGGCAGACAGATGTTCTGGTTGCGTGGAGGGGAGGGGCTCTAATTAGCTATTTATCAATTCCATTTTCTGCTGCTGGAAACCGAACCAGAGACCTATTTACAAAATCCTGGAGGCAAATTCCCACCTCTTGTGCTTTATTTCTCGGTGCAGGAAAGTGTTGGGAGATTTAGTCAAAAAAGGAGCACAGCCTTTCATCCTTAGATGTAATGATAAAATGGTTTGGTGATGGTACAGTGCATAACAATAAGACTTTTTCTTTTAGCTACAACTTTAAGGGAATTTTTATTGTTTGTTTTGTTAAATTTGAGACAGTTTGTTCTATTCCCTAGGAACAGGTGGCTAACAAGATGGTTGATTCTAAGCAGAAGAGACTACACAGAAATGTATGTCAGAGCTAAGATAAAAAAATCCTGAGTCAAGTAAAAGTGATTTTGTATTACTCTCTTCTGAAGTTGAATGTTTCATGTTCCTCCTTTTTTTCTAACTTAGAATGACATGTCTTGGAGCACTTTATGGTTCATTGGTATTTGTAGTGTTAAATGAATGGGCCAAATATGGGTCTGACTGGGTGGCTGTTTTTTTTCCCAAAAGTAATATCAGGTGTTTAATATAAACCTGTTGTCTTTCCATGTACTGGCTAAGATGATTCCATATATATGTATGTCTAAATATACCTGTATATGTATATATGTGTGTGTGTGTATATATACACATATGCATTTGCTTTGGCTCTATAAATAATTGTAAAAACAAAATTCAGTGTTCTAGACACTATTTTTAGATAGAGAAAAGTTATGGGAAAGAGTCAGAAACCTTGCTATGAGAAAATGTCCTGCTAAAGTAGTTCCCAGAACTTGCTAAGGATGGTTTAAGAGATGATTTATATTTTGCCATTTTTAGAGACATTTTCCTTAAAATATCATTCTCAGTTTTTGGTTTACTATCTACATGAGAAGGAAGTAGAGAGTTCAGGGAAGCATAACCAAAAATAGATAAGTTAAATATATGTATTTGAAAAACAAGGATGTCATTATAACAATATCTTTTCCTAGTCCCATTGAACAAAAATGATCAAATATCTTGGTTAAAATATATGTGGACTAAATTCTTTTATTATAAGAAAGAAATATGCATGTGTTTTTGTCCATCTCAATCCATCTTATCTGTAGGATGTTTTTCCATTCATTGTTAGTTAATTCTTAAATTATAATTTAGTAGGTGGGAGAGGACATCAGTAGGAGGTTTCTAAGTTTTGTCTTTTGCTTAAATTATACATTGTTAAGATATACAACATTAGAAATATTTGATACATTTACAGATAGCTAATCAGATATTTAAAGCACATAGTATTCAGAATATAACTGTGGGATATTTTTAAACAGTCTTTGGTACTCATGAGATGATTCCATGATACTCATTCTTTACCACTCCCAGATCAATAATTCTGATCCAATTTAGGCTTTTGAGTCTGAAAAGCTGTTCTAATCTGAAGCTGTCTGATGCCCTGTTAAGACTTCTGGATACCCCTCAATTAAAGATAAAACACTATATAAGACCTTGAAGGGCCAGGGTTGGACTGGTTGGTGTGAAGGGAAACTAAAAAAGTAAGGTGGGTGGAGATTTTGCTCCATCTTGTGTATTTCATTCCCGATGTATATTTCCAAAGCAATTTTTTTATAAGCCAGGAAAGGAATTTCAAATGGGGCAGGTGAATGCTTCCTATGCAGGGAAAGAAAGCTAGTATATAGAAGTATCTTTAAAATAAGAATACAATGGTAACTTACTTTTCCCTCTAACATCCAAGGGATTTTGCGTATTTAAGGGATGATGTTGGGTAAAGTGACAATAGCTCTCATTCTTACAGCTGGAAGACCCAGGGGAACCCCAAGGCTCAGGTGCCCACATGATCAGCACAGCCAGGGTACCTGCAGATAAGCCAGTACGCATCGCCTTCAGCCTCGATAATGCTTCAGGTATGCTCTGCTCAGGGAGAAGGGGTCTCTTCCCTGCCTGCCACCTTTTTACTGTCATATTTTCTAGTTCCACAAGGGCGTTTAAAAATGCATGCCTGGCATGACCTAATGTGGGGAGTATGATTTTTCATCATGTGTTTTTCAAGTGTGGCTTCCAGAAATGTCTGTGGTGATACTTCCCCCATGTCCAATCCTCTGATTGTTTTAGTACATTTCTTCTGCCTTTTTGACTTTCCCCATTTTAGCTTTCTTTTAGTATAAAATTGATGGAGCTCTAACACTTTCTAATGATAGCAAAGTATGTCATTGTTAAAACTGCATGAGAAAACATTTATTAAAAGCTGGCAGTTGGTTAGGTAATATAAAAATATCACTGTTCCCTGTGCCAGCAGTATTTCCTGAAGTCCAGGTTCCAAACTCTGGTCTCTCACTGATGCTCCCACACTTCCGGCTGAATGAACAGACTTCAGCTGGAGTGATGAATGGGACAGGTGAGGCAGACCCTCTCGAAATAGTAAGGTCTGAGGTGAGGCTGCCGCACTTAGAGTCCTTTGTCATGGCTCCCCTCAGTGACCTCTTAACACACATATTGAATTACATACACCACCTTTGACAAGGGACCTCAGGTAGCGTGAGGTCACAGTGGTGAGAAACGGAAGGCCTTTGTTCTCAGTCTAATGTCATCTGTTAAAATCACATAATCACACGCTCAAACAACATTACCGTTTAAACCTTGGGCCTTTGGGGGACCAATTGTTTCCTTCACTCCTTCCTTCTTTCCCTCCCTCCCTCCCTCTTATCTTTTTGTGGAACTAGATGGTAGGAATTACTTGAAATAAATGAGAACCCCTTTTTGAAGCTACAAATTAAAAACAAAAGAATTTTGAAAGTGTACATTCTTGGGACATTTGAAAGAGATTAGAACAAATTAAATTGACTGATGAAAAACATGCAAGAGCTCCCAGTGGGGACCAAGAGAGTTGAGAGGATGGTGGCCAATGAATTATAAGTTGTATATCTTATACTTAAAAAAAAAGTCTATTCTTCCTTCCTTCAATGATCATGAAGGAGTAACAATTTAAAAGGCAATAATTGAAAAGGTACAGGCTTATCCCCAAAATATGCAAAGTAAGGATATGGGCTCTGTGAAGTCTGGTATTACACATCCAATTCAGGCTGTACTCTGCAAAGTGATTATGATGGTGACACATCTACCTCCTTGTTTTCTGGATCGTGCAGCTCACAGTGGAGGATTTAGTTCTAGAGTAAGAACACGTGAAGCCTCAGCCCCTCATCATCTGTCCTTCCAACCTTCTCCTATTCCCTGCTGTTGTCCTGTGTCCCTACTTAGGAAGGCAGAGGTGAAGGGAAAACCTCCCAATAGACAAACCAATCCATCCCAACATACAAATGACAACTAACATTAACTGAATTTCCATTTTGTATTGGGTGTTCACGCACTATATTTCTGATAGTTAAAATAAGTGCATTTTAGGTGTTAGTTTTCCTAATTTGCAGAACAGAGATTGAGGTTCTGGAGACCACACTGTTAGTAGGTAATGGAGTTATGACTCAAACTCAGGTCTCTGGACTTGACACTCCAAACTCTCTCCATTTTTCCACTCTGCTTCTCTAAGAAGAAAGAGAAAAGCCCCTCCAGTTTTTACAGATTTCATTAGTGCAAGATTTCAAGAAACAGTCAGTGTTTGAGTGGGTAGCTCTCAAGACAGAGTGTTAACCCAAATCAAGGGAGAAAGAAGACGTGTGATTTTCTTCCTCATGTTCATGTCTCACACGAGCAGAACAAGTCCTGTTACAATCGATAGCCTTACAAAGCCAATCTCAGTATATAAAACTTGTTTATTCCAAACAATATTATTATATTATAATTTTGGTTGAGACCAATGAATGTACTTTTTTCTCACCTTCATTTTAACATAATTTAACTTATGTATAGGAAAGAGCCATGGACAGGTGATCTTGATCTTTGGGCTGCCTAAACAGACTTTCACTTGAATATGCAACTTGTAATTAATTGGCCACCATCTTTTGAACTCTCTTGGTCCCAAGTGGGAGCTCTTACAGGTATTTTATCAGTCAATTTAAGTTTATTTGTTCTAGTCTCTTTCAAATGTCCCAAGAATGCCCACTTTCAAAATTCTTTTTTTAGAAAATTTGGTAGCTTCAAAAAGGGGTTGTCCTTTATTTCAAGTAACTCCTACTGTCTGGCTCCACAAAAAGATGCTCAGGAAACCTTATGAAGAATCCACCAAAATTGAATTTTTTTTTTCCTTAGGTTCGATGTCCCCATATCTCTAGAAAGGTTACCTAAATAGAAAGTCCAAGGTAGGAAGCGGGGTTGAGTGTTTCTCAACCTTTCTTAATATAAACTTCTGACAGCATTCATCAAAAAAACAAGTTCCAAGGCTCTACTCCTGGGTATTCTGATGCAGAAGGTCCAGCTTGAGTTCTAGCAGTACTGTAATTTTGTGTGCACATGAGGTTGTGAGTGCACAGAAAGATGCTTTGCAGATACTTGGGGACACTCCCTCTGAATTCTTGAATAAGAAGCATGTGGAGTATCACACCAAGTAACACTTGCCATCAGATGCACACTGTGCATACCTTCTGAATTCCAAGAGCATTTGAGACCACACATTTAAAGGGAAAACAAAAGAAAACATTCTAGACTTTCATAGTAAATGGGGAAACTAGGATGGATTTGGGGGATTAATTCCATATTTGTGGATTTATTGTTGAGGAGTAAGCAGAGTCCACAGGAAAAGAGATGTCTTTGCCTGTGAATGTTCATTTATTCATTCATTGTGAACCTCATACATTGCTTATTTCTCCAGTGATGTTAGGACTTTTTTTTGCATATATTTCTAAGACGATTTGGTGTAGAGGTTAAAGACACAGAGCTTTGGAGTCAGCGGGATGCGGTTTCTAGACCTATTTCCATCACTATTTGTATAATCTTGGGTAAGTCACTCAACTTTGCCAAACTTCAGTTTCCCATAAGATGTGTATAGTAATAATTCACAGAGTTGTGAGAATTAAATAACACTATATACATAAAGTATTTAGCAGAGGGCTTGACACATATTAAGGACTCAACCAGTTTCTGTATTTATGATAGTTGGTTCTGGAGTACTAAGGAAAATACTAAATGGTTTGTGTTCCACCTACATCTCACACATCTACTTGATGACAAGGTAGGGTTTATAGTATAACTGACCTGCGGTTATTTAGGGACTATTATCTATTTGGTGGATTATAGGTACCCCAGCTTCTTCTTTTACCAATTAGCTGAACTTTACTTAGTTTCTATGCTTCCAGGGTTCTGCTAAAGGTGGTGGGGTATGAAAAGATGTATATGACATGAGCCCTTCTAAGGGTTTTATAAGGAAAAGAGATTTGGGGAAAAATCTTTGTCACCCACAGAAGATAGGAACAACTTCTTGGAAGATGTGGTAGTCAGTATGGGATTGGAGGTGAGTAGGGTATTAAAAAGCAATGTAGGAAAGGTATCATTTCTACATACCAGGTACAAACAAAGAGGGTACACATCTTTGAACAGTTCTTCCATTTCCTTCCAGACAGAAAGCATGAGCAAAACCTAAGCATGATATATTCAAGGAATACTAAAACTCTTGTCAACTGGAGCAGAGGTCTGAACTGTGGAAGAGAAACATGCTTTTTAATGAGCTCTGCTTTAAGCCAAGCATTGTGCCGGAGTCTTACAAAGAATAACTATTTAGATAGCAGCAGAATAGGGTTACCAGGCCAATTCAACAAGAGCTGGATTTGATTAGAAGCAATAGAGTGTCAAAAGTTCTTGAGCAAGGGAGTAATATGATGAAAATGGTAAATGTTCGATTGGTGGACTAGCCTGCAATGTGGCGGGATGAGAAAATGAAAGAGGCTTTTCATAATGGTTCAGAGACTAAGTCTTAAGAACCTGCATTAGGGAATGGAACGGGATGACTGAATCAGAGTACATTTTGGAGGAAGAGTTGAAAGAACTTGATGACACACTGGCCCTGGTGTAGATGGCCCTACAATGTTGTTGATCATTGTTCATTGATAGCATACAAGACTCTATGCAGATCATGGACCTGCAGGGGCTTAAATAAAAGAAGCAATATTTTAGGAGAAATAAAAGACCCTTAGGATACAATCACCATTTCTAACCTATAGTCAGAATCCTTCATTAAATAACACTTAGCTAACTAATTCCTGGTGGCAGTAATGCCTGTCTTTAAAACACTAATGATATGAATGACATTACTTCCAAACTGGGAATTCTCAAGAGTTAACTTTCAAAATCGAGATCTTTATAGAGTTAGTTTTCCTAAGAGAAAATGTACAGAATAGAAATATGAATCCCATCTCTTGGGTTATTAGAGAATAAATGGCTCTTTTTCAATTAGAATTCAGAGTTGGACTTGACATGAGGATTTCATGTTAATTACTTGAGAGTTTTCTTTATCTTCAGTCAAGCTACAAAATCTGGCACACTTGTGTAAATTTAGACCTTGGCTTTGGGATTCATTTTTTTTCTTTTTAAGTTTTTAGTTTTTATTTAGGATGAGTCAAGGATACTGGCACCAGCCCAAGCTGGTGACTTTCAATATTTTGTTTTTAGGATATTTTCAAGCTATTAGAGTTTTTCATATATGGGCATGAATTGATCATATGACCTTTAGTAAAAAAAAAGTCTAAGAACCATTCTGTTGGGTTTTTTTTTAAGTAATACTGTCTTCTCCTCATATATCAAGGTGTTTTGTGTGGTAGGGGAATTACAGGGAGTAGCTGAAATAGCTACCTTTGAATCTAACTTAATTGGGTGTTGTGTGCATGTCTGCTGTACACATGAAAAACTGGCTGTCAGCAAATTTGTGATTGTCATTGTTGCCTTCCTTCAACTCTTTCTACCTTTGGTACCTTTTGGGATTATTTCTCTCTCCCTCCTCAGGGCCCCAAAGTTTCTGGTACTT